GAGACTCCAACTCAAAAAAACAAAACAAAACAAAAAATGAGCTGGGTGTGGTGATGCAAACCTGTAGTTCCAGTATTTGGAAGGCTGAGGCAGAAGCATCGCCTGAGCCCAGCAGGTCAAAGCTGCAGTGGCCGTGAGCATGTCACTGCATTTCAGCCTGGGCGACAGAGTGAGACTCCAACTCAAACAAAACAAAACAAAACAAAGATAAGTAATATTGCTTTAAAAAGAGGAGGCAGTTCCAAGTGCACAGGGAGACCTGTCCATGCCTGGTCTCCATGGGGAGGAGACTAGGAAACTCACTGATGGAAAACTTCCCAAGAATCCAGAAAGGAGGGATTATCAGCCACATGGTACTGAGGAGGAAGCTGAGGCTGAGGAGGCAGAGTAACTGGCCCAAGGTCACAGAGTGAGTTAACTGGTTGTGCTTTTTGCTGTGGCAATGGCCCATGCCCCTTCCTCCCCTCCACCCCCACACAATGCTGCCCCCCAGGACATACACCCTGAACACCATCTCCTCCGAGAAACCTTCCCTGACTGCCCCCAGGATGGTCTCTTCCTAGCAGTCCTGTTGTAGATGAGGTTCCCAGGAGGCGGATTCTGAGATGGCAATGAGTGCAATATGTATTAGGAGATTTTCTTTTTTGGAGTTAGCGTCTCACTCTGCCACCCAGGCTGGAGTGCAGTGGCAAGTTCACAACCATTGCAGTTTCAACCTGCTGGGCTCAGGCGATCCTTTCACCTCAGCCTTCCAAGTAGCAGAACTACAGGTGTGCACCACCACGCCTGGCTAATTTTTTTGGTTTATTGTAGAAACGAGGTCTCGCCAAGTTGCCCAGGCTGGTCTTGAACCCCTGGGCTCAGGCAATCCTCTCGCCTACACCTCCCAAGGTGGGCCACTGCACCCGACTAGGAGATGTTCTTGAGATGGGCACCTGGCTAGGGAGGAATGGTAAGGAGGAAGGTTGGGCAGAGGGAGAACTAGGCTGTTCTCGGTGAAGCCCGGGGACGGTGAGGACATGGGGCTTGACCTTCAGAGCTGGCCAGCGTTGAGGCAGAGGGCAAGGCCTTTAAGCCCCGCATGGATGGCTGCGGGATGTGGGCTGTCCCCGAGGGGTGGGCAGTTCCCAGAGTGCTACCTGCTGAGGCCTGTCACCCAGCATTCCTCCCAGTGGAGTAGAGGGAGCGCTGACAGGTTCACCAGCCCAGGGGGGCATCTTGGTGGCTTGTCATGGTGACCACTGTGTGCCCATCAGAGCTGCTGCTCACCCATGCTTGTCCTGGCCTCTCAGATCCAGACTCAGCCCCCGGGCTTGGGGTGGGGGCTCTGGGCAGCACCCCTGGGTCTGACCCCACACCTTAATCCCGTGCCCAGACTTGTTTCTGGCTGAGGACCTTGGGAGGTCCCCAGGCGGCTTCCTTGGGAATCCCCACACCATCCCTGCCTGTGAGCAGCATCCAGACGCTGTGCATGTGTCCCAGCCCAGGAATGCTGCCAGAGAGGGCACATCGCAGCCAAGAAGGGAGTGAGTGGGGGTGATGCTTGTCATTCAGTTCACAGATCCTGTCTTTCATCTTATCCACGGCTACAACCTTCCTGTGAGAAAGGATTTTTATTTATATTTTTGAGTCGGAATTTCATTCTTGCTCAGGCTGGAGTGCAGTGGCACGCTCATGGCCACTGCAGCCTCAACCTGCTGGGCTGAGGCAATCCTACCTCAGCCTTCCAAGTAGCTGGAACTACAGGCACTCGTCACCAGGCCCAGCTAACTTTTTTATTTATTGTAGAGACGAGGTCTCACCAAGTTGCCCAGGCTGGTCTCAAAACCCTGGTCTCAGGCAATGCTCTCATCTCAGCTTCCCGAAGTGCTGAGATTACAGGCATGAGCCCCTGTGCGTCCGGCGAGGCTGGATCTTTGATGAGCCCCGTCAACAGATGAGGAAACTGAGGATCCAGGACAGGAAATTGCACACCCGGCCTCTTAGGCCTTTCTGTAGGAAGGGGCTGTGCCGTGACCCAAAACCCAGGAGGCACTTCTGTGTCAGGATCCTGTTTATATTAACCCTTCTGTCATTCGTCCTCCAGAGAGATACTAACTAACACTCCCTCTCCCCCCAGGGGGTGTGAGGTGGGCGCTGTTTCAACCCTTTCTCCCCGAGTCAACACTGGCATGGTCCTGGGTGCTGCCTCCCGCTGGGGGACCGGGGGGCTCGGGCCCTGTGGATGAGACGGACACCCCCCCAGTCCTCTTCCAGCTTGATGTCACCCTGCTGCAGCGCCTGCTGGATGGCATTGGCGAGGGTGTCGAAGGCCAGGTCCACATTGCAGTTGGTTTTGGCCGAGGTCTCCACAAAGGCCATGCCCAGGGAGGCGGCCAGCTCTTCTGCCTCCTGGGCCGAGACACAGCGGGTGCTCTGTAGGTCGCTCTTGTGGCCAACCAGGAGGAAGATGGCCTTGCAAGGGCCCTGGGAGGCCATGACCTCCTGGTGCCAGTCTTGGATGTGTTCGAAGGACTTCCTGTTTGTCACATCGAAGACCAGCAGGACACCCACCACGTTCCGGTAGAAGGACCTCGTGATGCATCTGGGAAGGCGGAGCAGAGTGGCCAGAGGCTGTGCCTTCCAGCGCCAGAGGCAGGACCCCCGGCCACGCCCCGACACAGCTCACGTCCAAACCCCTGGGCTTCGCGCGACTCGCAGGCCCCCCGACACCCCCCGGCCTGGGGAGCACCGAGGCTCCCTGACTCGGGCCTCTGCTTCTGCACGCCGCCCCGGCAGACGCCTCCCGACCCAGGGCCGACGCGAACCTCTCCTGCGCCTCCCCGACGGTCCCCCAGCCCGCGAGCTCCCTCC